AGAATAAGTATTCAGATATCTGATAAAGGAAAAGGTAACGACAAGAGAAGGTCCGTTATGAATATTAACCCATTTACCTCAGTAATAACAACCAGTGTACGCATTCGTTCCTAGTAGTATGCTAGTAAAGAGTAATAATGGGGTAGCTGGTGATAAACTAGCGAAATAAGCAATTTAATGAGGCCTCCTAGCAGTATCAACATCGCAACAGCATTACTCCTTAATCCACATGCAGAGTAATTACTCGCTATCGATTAAGCAAATTCTAGTTTTCATTTACTAAACAATTAAGGTGTACTTCTCCGTTTAATATTTAGCAGAAAATGCCGAACATTTATAATTAAAAGCGTTTTCATACACAATTCTTTCAACTGACATCTTTCCTTAAATTAAAATTGCTTCTTTGATTATTTACTGGGCCTGCTCTATTAGTAATTAACGCTATGTATAGCGTCATGTTCATTAAATTCGTTTGTCTTTGATTCTACAGTATCTTTCTGCCAAGGACATTTCGACCCTTAAGATGACCCCGTTTTATATAACAGACAAGAGAAGTTTTAGTGACTGTAACGAAAGGGTTTTCCAAAAACGAAATATTTGCGATTCCTTCCATCTGATGGAAAAAAACTGAATTCATTTTTATCCACGTGTTCGTCTTTCAAATTCGTTTTTCTTCGAAAATATTCAATAAAGAGATTTAAAACATATCAAAGTTATTATCCATTTATTGACGATTCAAAAATTTGGGCAACTGTCAATAAAAAATAGATACCTAAACGTTTAACTACATTATGACCTTATGATACCTATTATAAATTCTACCATCTGGTCACGATTCATTACCAAAAATATACTCTTAATGTAATTCCTTTGGAATTCAGTTTCATTACTTATATGATATAACGGCATTTCCAATAATAATCTTCTGAAGGAAGAAACAATTGAAATGGTCACGTTTGTTCCGATTGATTTCGAAAGGTTGTTGGCCAAATTGTACTGCTGATTTTGATATACTATTCGATAACATACGAAAGCGCGGCCTTTCTAGAACATTCCACACATACTTAACTATTTGTGAACAGTATTTTAATCTACTCTTCTTAGCCTTTCATGCCAGAGAAGGTGTACTATCAGCCCCTTCTTCTAATTTTTGTCTCCTGCCTTTAAAAATTATTAACGTAACAATAATCGATTTGCATTATGTCAGAAATGCCAGACGTGATCACGATTGCAAATCTGTTTGTTCTCAGCAGCACGCCATAACGATTTCCAAAAGAATTTCTGTCAATTCAAATTGCTACTGGTTACCAAAGAGATTAAAGGTTGAACCTGAACCTTGTCGTTGGGTTGCGCAATACCTGGTTTTATAGCAAAGCACATGGTTAAAATCAATAAAATAACAGTTTCATATTCAAGATATTGTTCATTGGTACACCTAAAGCCTAACGTTTAGGAAGTTGGAAAACTGATGTATTATCAAACGTTGGACGTTGAAGCAGATTCAAAGTTGTATGTACGTATTAGTGAACTGGATTACAAATTACAAGCAAATAAGGATTAAATGATACATTTTGCATCTAATTCAATTGTTAAACACGCTTCATAGGAGCTAGTATATTTAGTAACGTTCTCTCAGAGACTAATGGATACAACCATCCCGAGGGAGAGAGCTTTGCCTCTTTGTCAGGCGTTTGCTTTGTTATAATATATTCCATTTATAAGAACATCAAACCCAGAATATTCTCTTTATCGGATTTTCTTCCGCATTCAAAACTAATTAAATATTCATCAAGTCACATACTTACATTAAATATATCGATCTCTTCAACGTTACCTATAGCTTGAAATTCAACGACTTCTAATATAATATTCTAGTTCAAGATTAAACAATTAATTTAATAGATTACGACATATACCCCAATAAGTGACTTAAACTAATCAATACGTGTGCGAACAAGTGACATATTTTTTAGGCAGGCTATAATATTAATGAAGGTGGTAACATTGGAGCATCGCCTTTCTCTCCGCGCATAGTAATGAGCCAAGACCAAGCACCATAGAACCTAACAGGTCAATTGAAAAGTTGAAATTCGTTTTTTTATTCAACATTTCACACCGCATTTCTCTCAAAAAAAATCAATAAGGTTTATCGGTTATTTTTAGGGTTCTGCTCCCAAATAATCCAACTCCTTCCGTCCGTCCGACTGTCAGGGGCTTCTAACCACCAAATGAAATGAGATTTCAACTTGAAATTCACATGTAATATATAAATCCTTGGCCCAGAAGAAAAAATCGTGGCTGAAGTTACGAAAATCTTTATTTGAAGAGAGTGCCATACCTACAAACAAGGAGGGGACAAAAAAAAATAATTTTTTCTATGCTTGTGGGGTATATTTGACGAGAGTTTTGCAATAATGCCATAGATATTTTTTTAAGTTTTTTTCAGTTTTAGAATTTCAACTTCAACGTAGAGATGTAAATATTGTTGGAACGGGATTTAGACTAGTACGCACATTGTCATCGCTAATTTGTAATGTATATGTATAAACCTATCGACGATCAATTAGATTAAATAAAGTAAGGATTTGGGGTTAAATATGCAGCGGCAAATGATTAGCATGGTTAGATTTGCAGATGATATAACAGTATCAGATTTATGAAAGAGTTACAGTCAACGCTAAATCAAATGGAAGCGGTATTGACGGAAGAATGTGGAATATATATTTATTTATTTACTACTGTTGATATATCACTATTCATTGCGCTATTTATTTCACTGTCACTTTATATCTGGATTCACTTCTGCAACGGTCAATTTATTTCTCCTCCTCTCGGCGATCGTCTCTTCCTTTAAATACACTTTTGTTTACTTTCTGGAACCTTCTAGAAACATCCGGATAGTTTATTTTTTCTTTTAACTGCTTAACTGCTTTCCCACAACGCAGGTACGACACACACATTTACAAATACGGCGCACATGAAGAAAGTCGCCCGCGGCTAGTCGGCGAATCGATAAGACGTTCACGTACACGTGTGCCCGATTGCACACAAACACACTCGTGCTCGCTACAGTATGTAANCAGCCGTCAAATTTATAGACGCGTCTTTTGAAGGTTAGGACTAACTGAAAATCATATGGATTTAGTTCTGGTGCCGCCATCTATGTGTCAGGCCGGGGACTTTTCAATTGACCCTAGAATACCCTGGACTATAGCACACGGGACAATGGACAAGGAGAAATTGATCGGTTATAAAATTAACATGAGCTTTTCTTCAAATCCAATTAGCTGGCAACGAAAATTCATGTAGGTACCATCTCATTTGTCTTCTAACAACGATCCGTCTGATTTTAGTCTTAGGTCTTTATAATAGGGATGATGGAATTCTCTATATTAAGTTCAATAAGATGGCTTTATCTGATGAAGAAGACATGTTATCAACTGAATTGAAATCCATATTAATATGTTAATACGTTATTCGTTCAGAATTAACTAATTCGAAAATGCATAGGTCGGATCAAGGGTCACTAGGGCGCAGTGGTCGGAATAAGGGTCCGAGTTATGGTTTCAGGTGAAGCTCCCCGTTATGTACATATCCTTAGGTTATTTTAGAACGGTTTTTAGAGAAGTAGGTGATATATTCAGGTAGACGTGGTTGAAAGAATATATTCCACACATACACCAAATTATGCATTTTTACTCTTGGAACATAAAATGGACAAATACCAACAAAGAAATATGTAATTTCTATGAGTTACATGTGAATATGTTGCATCACGGACCGTCCAAGTCCCCCATCACTCGTCAGTAACAGTCAGCAAAGCTCATTTTTCAATGTGTTCTGGTATCTTTATTGATTCATGAGCAGTTTCATTTTCAAGCATAGACAAGTAGAGTTGCCATATGTGTTCAAACCAAAATCGACTAAATTTTGTAGAAAACCCGAAAAAGCCAAAAATAAGTACTGCTAACGTACCTAACTACAGTCCAGACCTCCCAACCTCAAATCTTCAAAACTTAGTATGACTCCTCAGCTGTATAGAAGTTATACTTCGTTTACTTTCTGTAGCGAAGTGACCTTCAGTTTTACCGGCGCAAAGTAGAAAAAAACAGCAATAGGCCAGAAAAGGAACGAAACAACTCTCGGTCAAACTCTTAACCGATGAAGAGCGTATAATCCGTACAGCACTGCACGGAAAAATTGACCATTTTATCCACTACAATTGCATTGCTCAAATGTGCTGGTAAATTGGTACAGTTTTTTCCAAATTAAATTTTAAATTACTTTTATCAACGAGGTGTTTATTTATATTTGAAGACATATTAAAGGCTTTAACGCTTGTTTTCGACTCGCACTACTATTCATGATTGAACAAAACTTTTGGCAGGTACTGTATGAAAAAGTATGTTTAATGAACAAGAGTCGAGAGTATAATGAGCTTTTTTCTCCCTACCTACGATTTTGCCAGCGCGCATTCAAGACATTGGAAGGGGCACATCGCTAAAGAAAGTAAATGAAGTATAAGTTTATAAATGCGGATTCCACAAAAGTAAAAGATATTGATTTCTGTTACTGATAAAAAGTTTTCCGGATAAATGCAGTATAAGGAGTTTACCTTATTTGTGTCATTTCCAATTTTTCCAAACAATAGTTTCAGTAGATACTAATTGCTACAAATACAATTATCCACCGGTCGATCTCAATTATCCCACTTTCCTCTGAGTGCAATTACGAAATATGGCACCAACAATAATAAAATTTTTAATCAAACTATTACAGTTTACAGCAAATTTTGTTGGTACTCGTCTACCACCCGTCCTAACAAATGTGACTGACTCATAGTAAAAAAGATTTGTTAAATATTTTTGCGAATAGTTACCACACTACAATATCAGGTTGGAATTTAATAATAAAAAATAAATGTACAAATTTACTAAAGGATTTTCTACAGAAGAAAAGACGGTAGGTATCCTTTTTAACCTGTTTCTCTTTTTTTACAGGTTTATGCTAGTTCTCGTGTGCCTCATATTCAGTGTTCTTTCAACGATAGAAGCCTACTCTGATTTCGCAAATGAAACGCTTTTTTGGATGGTAAGTTCAGTAGGTATCTTTATCAAAACATATTGTAACTCAATGTAATCTAACAGAAATGCACTGTAGACACTTATTTTTCTGATAATTGGTTATTTATTTCACTTTAGATTTATGTCACATTTTAGTTTTTCTCTTCGTGTACTAAATTGCAATAGCTATCTTGCATCGACTAGTCCCTCGAGTGCTATCGTATAGTCCTGGATTATTTTTGATTATTTCTGAACTTTCGTTGTACCTATCAGTCCTGATAATCATCATAAAGTCGTAAGTCCTAAGACTGGTTATACGTGCACCTCCACTCTTTCTTATCCTGAGCTAATCTTCGTATTTTCCTCAAACAAAAACATCCAACATCCTTAACTATTTGCAAACAGTAATCTAATCTAGGTCTACTTCTACTTAGAAGACATCCAACCAACCAATCTCGCCTATTTCTTATTAACTTTCATTGAGTCCTCTGTTCTCCTTTTCTTTCTAATACCTCTTCATTTCTAACCTTCTCTATCTACATTATCATCATCATTCGCCTGCAACACTACATTTCGAACACATCTATCCTTCTCTTTTCCACCACCAATGTTTCATACTCGTACAGCGTTGCGTTCCAAACAAACACCTTTAATAATCTTTTTCGAATTTCTAAATTGACCGTACGCGAGCATAGAAGTGACTTCTTTTTATTGAAGTCGACTCATTCCTGCGCTATCCCCTCCTTTATATCCCTACTACTCCTTCCATCCTGACTTATCTGCCCTCTTAAATACCGAAAAACAACCACTTTTTCTAATTTTTCGTCTTCTATCTTTATATCCTCTCCTTCCTTACTTTCTCTTCCTTTGCATACAAGTGTTTTTGTTTTACTTTTATTTTTTTTTGTCAACACCGCCTCCATTTTAAAGCTATCGCTAACTCTTCCTCGTATCAGTCTTGTCAGTATTTATGATTATATCCTGCGCCTGATGTTTTTCGAACGTACAAAAGGTGCCGTCAATATCGATGGCCCGCGGCATATTTTCACAACAATATCATTACATCGATATTTTAAATGACTTATTGTAGCAGAAGCTTTCAACTTTCATTTTTGATATACCATTTAGTTTTCTTTTAGTTAGCAATTAATGTAAGAACTAAATAAGAAATTGTAGGAGAATTTTGTTTTATATAT